ATTGAATTTCACATAGCCTTGCTTTCCCAAAAGTTGTTCTCATCAAGGCACCAGTGGACTGCAGTTTCGATTTCGCATCGGTCTTATCAACACCCTCGGCGGAAGTCAAACCATGATATTGTAGAATGTGACCTTGACACGTTAACCACTCGACCACATTGCCACGAGCGCCTTTTGGGTCACAGGGCAAATGTGAATTTTTAAGGAAGCCCAGTCCTTTTTCCCATATCATATTCTTTTTTGGTGGGATTGTCGATAAAGCAAATGTATATTTGCTATAACAATCGACTACTATACTTTTATTTTTCGAATTAAGTATTGTTTTCATGACTAGTAGTAAATCAGTAGTATGACATGTATTCACCCAATTTTGTTTGAGGTCATGAAGGACTTAATTTTTACTTGAAGCTTCTACGAGAATGACGGAGTGTGTCAAGGGGCTCAGCCCGTTTTCACACAAAATGAGGGAAGCTGTCTCGCGGACTGCGTCAACCCGAAAGTCGTATGAATCCGAACTCGGTTGGCATTTTCCAGTCAGGCCAGCCTATGAAACTCTTCATCAGACAACCACGTCCACATTAAATGAAAGTCTTTAAAGCAAGAACTATTTCAAGGTTGCTTATAGTGATTTAGCGCCTAATAAGTGTGTCTTCTTCCGCAATGAGACGAGTAGGCGTCACGACCTATTCTTGTAGGGAATAGAACTGTAGATGAGACATCAGACAAGAGAGAATTTGCCATTTCTGATGCCAAGACAATGGTCACGAGGATGCGCAGCCTCCTTGAAATGTCTCGGGTAGACTGAGTGTGGGAATCTTTTGAAATACTTTCATGAATTGGTCGAAAAAAAGTTCCACTTCAACAGCATACACCCCCCCTCACAAACTCACAAAACCTGGACCATTCCTCTTCTCTTCATTTCTACAATTTTCTTTCGACTCGGTCCGTCTGTCTACAGCAGTTGGCCGAAGATTTGCCGCATGTCATGATGCAAAATAGGCGAAAGTCTCATTTTCTGCAATATATAATTCACTTTAATCCACTGTTTTTTACACTTTTTTCAGGAAAATTATCATCTTTTGCGTCTAAATCTGAGCAAAAACCGCATTGGCGCCTACGGTGGCCGCAGCCTAGCCGCCTCTTTGAGTGCGTGTCTTCCTGTTTGGTTAAACCTTCTATTTTTGGTATCACCTGTCCCCACCACCGCTACACCCACAACCTTTTTCCTTGTTCCACTCAAGCCGTGTTTGGTGAATAACCATTTCGGGCCGTAATGCTGAATCGAGATTTTCCGCCTCACAGACGTCACAGAAAGAGAGTGGAATGCCAGAGCACT